TCATCCCAAGGTCACTCAAGGTCATCCCAAGGTCGAAAGTGGAGGGGGGAGTCTCAGCACCGGCTATAATAACCTACTGGTATAATATCGTGGAAAAACACTAGTTTTTTCAAAAAAAAGAAAAGCGATTTTACCTTTTATCTTTCTTATCTTAGGGTCAATTATCAACCCATAAAAAGGCATGCGGTGTAAAATGGAAGAACGTCACCTACCACCATCTCTCGGTCTATAATCAAAAGTTGAATGTTATCTGCCCGTCCCATTGCATGGTAGCAGTGGCGGCTCGTGACATTGAGAATAGGTGAAGCATATTTATCGATCGACAAAAAAAAAGCGCCGCAGGCGAAAATTTTCAAATTTTCAAGGTCAAACGGCTTTAAATGAATCTGGAAATTTTAGTTGCATTTGCAATATTACCGAAAGGCGAGAAGGATTTTCATTTAGATTTTATAAAAAATAGAAATATTAGTTCGGCTCGTGGACTTAATGATAGATACAGATACAGATGTTAAGCGGGATTGTTAAATCCCTCCTTATTCCACACGCCCGATTTTACACTCGCAATTAAACACGGCATACAAAAAAGTTTTTTTAAATAAACACATCCACACAATCACTTACACTCCGAATACCATTCAATCCGAAACTTCCGAACATACACTTTGTCTTTTGACCTCCCCCTTTTTTCCACATCGAGAGAAGGTACAGGTCTTTCGCAATTTAAAAAATCTTTTTTGTCCTCAATTTTCGGTCTGGAAAATGGCATTTCCAATAAAATACATACAGGATCGTGCATAGGAAACATTTCTACAAATTATTGATATAAAACAAATATTAATAAAGAACCATTATAACCGTGCACTGGGCAACGTATCGTATAAACTGTTTACACACGATAGACAGGCGATGCGCGATGACGATGAGAATGCTGCTTCAACTTTTGCATCACTCGTTCTCCCAGGCCGTAGTTTACACATGCGTTGGCTGCCTCGTTGCCATGACAACCGCCGTACGGAGAGCTACGGAGAGAAGCAGATACATACCAATTTCAATATGAGTCACTTGCGTAGTATACGTTGTATGGTACGAGGTTGATGTTCGCGCTCAACGAAGCCAATGATTTTTTAGAAGGCGTTCACCGCGGAATTATTCTGTTTATTTCTGCGTATAAGACAAACAAACACAATACATTTTCAATATAGAATTGTACCCAAATTATAAGATTTATATCAAATTTAAAATAATTTTAAATTGCACAAACAAACGGAAATTTTAGGTGAAGCGTCACTTGCGTCACCCGACGAGCCGCCACTGCATGGTAGTTTTCAAATATCGAATACTTGTAAATTCAGAACCAATCCAGTAACTAATTCTAAAAATGTTATATTTTTTAATATATCAAATTTGCGAAAACATTAACTAATCGATTTTTTGTTATATTTATTTACCGTTCAAAAAATCTACATCCATATGTACATCCAAACATACCACCAACAAAAACATTCTCCATATTTATAATTTTAATTACAGCTGCAATTAGTTTATAGTATTCAGTGATAGTTGTATACTCTTTCAACTATTGAAAGTGTTTTGTAATCAATCCTTTTTTTTAGACAATATAATTGTAGGTAATGCAAATTGTTTACTTAAATTTGGAATTTCCTTCATTCTATAATATATCACTTTGTAAGACTATAATCAAGTAAACTTGTCAAACAATTTATCTTAGAATACACGTACACCACGTAATTAATAATGAGGTAAATTATATTCCTATTACACTTTCTAAATATTTAGGTTAGATTGATAGAAACCTTACATGAGCCTGACATTTTCACAAATAATGATCCTCCAGTAACTAGCATATTTACTTTAAATTACTAAATATGTCACTCACCAGCTCAAAGAAAAATATACTCTAAGCAAACATACAATTAACTAGAATTTCATTACACAGTAGCATATATATGAGCCTAGATAGATGAGCCTGATTGTGGTCAACACAGGTTGAAAGCGACACGCAAGACTAGTCTGACGTAATTAAAATAAAAACCCATTCCACATTACCTGTTTGTAGTAGTTAAGCGTATGTGAAACAAATTAAGTAAGTAATGTACAAAATAATGCAAAACGCTGTGTAACTAACATATATTTAAATTTTAGTTTCATGGGAAAAATGAAAAATGATAATATAATTCGACCAAGGAGAAATAGTCATAATTCTTGGATCAATTCTCTTGAAATGCAAAAATTTAATTCTCATATACCTGTTATTAAAATACGAGAAAATGATTTTCCCCTTTCTCAGTCTTCTGGTAACAACAGGTACCTTTAATATTTATTTTACATTTTATTTAGTAAGATCGATGATAAACAAAATGTAGTACCTAATGCATATAAAATAACATTAACAGCAACAAACTATTGGTAAAGTATGCAAAGTCGATTAATACAAGTTCCTACATATTGCGGGTTTTTTGTTAACGATAGTGCATGTATTTGTATTTAAAGAGTGTCCCAAGGTACCGTGGACAATTTAACTAAACTTACCTTTGCTTTGCGTAGCAGAGATCGGGGAGAGGGAACAAAGTTGACAAAAAGATTGTTTTTTTTACAAATAACTATTCTAACGTTGTATCCGATTTAAGTAAAATTCGATATGTTAATACATATGCATAGATGTCACTTTTTGACGTAGTAACTGACATAATTACATTTACATTAAGTGGAAAAAATACTCCCACTCATATTCTTTTCAGACCACCTTACACCTTCAATTTTTTTTATCGAAAATGTCCAATGTTAATTAGTCATTACCGATATATTTTTTATACAAGTTATCATTAAAAATTTAATTTAATTCATGCTGAAAACCAAATAATGCTTTTTAAAGTACAGAAACTTCTAATCGGTTACTCCTTCATGAAAATTAGTAGAATAGCTTTCAGTGTCACATAATCCAGTAAAATAAAGCAAGCTAAAACTATACGTTTTTTTCGCGACACACATTTTGTTAGTTAGATTATGGTTGTTTATCTAACCACTATTTTTGATAAATTTTACATTTCACCTAAAGCTAAGGAAGGAATTATTTAATTAGAATAGAATTAATTTACTTTATAAATTAATACGTTTACGACAGTCAAATCATAAAATGGATGCGTCAAAGACGCAAAAGGAATTTAATTTATTTTTGTTATATGTCCGAAAATTGTTCAATGAAGCATTCTTCTCAAATTCAAGTAGTCAACCTCCTCAACTTAGTATTGAACACTAGTAGTATCTACATTGGAAGAAATTCAAATAAGTCCTATCATTGTCCACAAACAACTTAGCAATCTGCGTGCTGATTGCTGATTCATCGCCGGGTGTAGATTCAATTAGTCCACTATTTCTGACAAAATGTGCGAACAATTTATGTGTGCCGCTGTGTGAAATTATGAGAAAATCCGTTGAAAGTAGCCAGTTACTATTGGATTGAAAAGTTATCTTGTGTGACATTAATTTTCAAAAAAGGTGACAAACTTTCCAGTACCAATTACCGACCAATCTGTTTTAAATATCTGGCATATAAAGAACGTCTTATATGTCTCCAATCATTGGAAGTGCGACGTACTCGTGGTGACCTCATAACAACTTATAGAACACTTCGTGGTGAATTATACTGTCCAGAGACGATGTTCCAACTAAACACTGATTCTTGTCTTAGAGGTAATTCCTTCAAACTTATAAATAAAATTTCCACACCCGCAACAGACATCATTTTTTACCTAACAGAATTTCCAACCAGTGGAATTTCCTACCAGATTATGTGGTTTCGGCACCATCTGCTCTTAATTCTTTCAAGAACAAACTCGATGACCACCTTAATCAACAATGGCGATGATGTTTTTCTAGAATATACATGCATATTTTAGTTTTTTTTACTGTGTTTGTAATTCTTGTCACTTACTTTTGTTTCTTAATTTTCTCTTTTTGTGTCTTTTTTTTTCAACCATGTACAGGATAAGTGATTTTTTGTATTAGAGCTTAACAAACATTTGCTTCTGCTCTTAAAAGTTGTTAATAACAATAATAACATTTTTTAATTGAAATTTACCACATAAATGATCTGGAACTAGCAAAATTGCCCTTGACATGCACCAACATAAACTGCAAAATTTATGTCGCGGAAAAGTAACAACAACCAATTTGTCGAAATTCCCAAAAATCAAAAAACTCGCAAACCTGCCCACAATATTTTACCGGAGCAACCGTCAACTACTAAAGCAGGGCTTGTTTGACAATCCATGAAATGAACGAAACAAATCAATTACACCGTTATGCGTTGATATTTTGAAGTCTCATGATTAGAAATAATCTCCACACGATACAGACAACAATTATATTAACAATTTTTAAAAGTCCAGAATTATGTGAGATAATCATTAGACAAAAAATAGATAAAATAGAATGACAGCAAATAATAAACGATTAACATTACCAGAAATAGAAGAAATTCAAAAAGATATTGCAGAAGAATCACAAATGTTCCGAATGGTACCCACAGGAGAAGAGAAATTAACATCAAACGAAAGTACCACAGAAACAACCACCAAAACTGTTATTTGGAAAAAAACAATGGTTTGAAAGAAAACGTGAAGGAATAAATCTAGAGGAGGTAGGAAACGAAATAGAAATCGATATTAGTCAATGGAAAGGAAGCAATCCATTGACAAACCTGGTCTTGATAATAAAAGAAAACATAATAATAAGAATATTATCTACCGGAAAATACAGATTTAGAGGATATACATGTAATAGTGTATGACCAAATGCAAGTGCAATTATTAAAACAATATTGTAAATCAAGAAGTCAGGAAGTCAGGAAAACCAATATGACAGATGAAATTACAAAAAAGGTTGATAAACTGATACAAAAAATTACAAAAAATACAAAAAACACATTCAAGAAAATAATAAACAATCTTAAAGAAATGCCCAATAAAAATTAACCAATGCAAGAAACGTTTGAAACGGAGACTTTCAATCTTGTTTTAAAACGAATAATGAGTCGACTGAAAGAAGAATACAAAATATAAGTTTAGAAATAGAGAGAAATAGTATTATAATACAATTTCCTCTAGCAATACAAGTAATATAACACCATCAAGCAAAGAACAAATAATAAGATATTGGAATAACATATGGGACAATTCAGTATATTATAATAAACGTGCCAAATAGACAAAAGATGATATCATATAACTGTATAAATTGTGTGAAGCATGGTCATATAGTAAGTGTTCGATTTAAATGCCCAAAGTTTGACTAATAAAATTGATCATATACGTTTTTTATTATCTGATCTAAACAGTGATTTTGTATATTTGAGCATTGGCTGATAGAACCTCATTTAAAAATTAGATAACTTCTCACTAGTTTCACAATTTTGTCAAATTAAATCTCGTAGCGGTGTTACTATATTTGTTAAACCTAAGATTAAATACAAGTCAATTAATTTAAGAAACTTTTCCGTTCCAATTCAGGCCGAACTTTGTGGATATGAAATCATAAATTCTTACACTGTTTTAATTACAGTGTACAGATCATCAAGTAATGGTAACTTGCTCGTTTTTAAATAACTTCGCAGAACTCGATTCTATGATCATAATAATCGTCACCCAATTTTTGTAACAAATGAATTGTATATGGATGTAATTTTTCCCATTTGCATTTTTTTATTGGAATATCGACTCGTGTTATGATTTAAAGCCCTTGTATCGCATTTATTGGATTTTCCACCACATCTAACATGACATTCAAAGAATTTTCTTCATTTGTAACCCTATCACTGGTTTTCCACTTTTTCGTCGATCTATAACACCTCCAGTTTCATGAAAACTCCGCAATGTTTTTAAAACGGTTGATTTAGAAATACGTTCCCAGTTGGGATGCAATTCATGAAAAATATCCACTACTTGTTTGACTTAAACGTATTGTTTTTGTGAGAAAATTATTTACATTAATAAGGCCCGGTACTTTGGAGTCTCTGTTAAGACTTAAGAGCAGATTTAATCTCATTTAATTTGATTCTCCATTGCTCAGTCAAGTTGTTAATTTTGTTACTGGTGTTTGCAGATTTATTGCCGCGTCTTCGTGATGTTTGCCTACAGCCGTAACAGCAGTATTATCAGCAAAGGTGGCTACCGTATTATTTATTTATTTATTTAAGAAGTCCTTGCCTTACAGGTATAAAACCCAATTACAAAGCAAGATGACAAGAAAATACAAGAAAAAGCACAAATACATCTTACATAATTTAACAAAACGAGAAAATAGCAATAAAAAGGTTGAATAACACAGATTATGATGAAAAAAAATGAAAGAAAATGCCAGTTTTCAATGAATCAATGCTCTGGAAACGGCTGACAGAGTACTGCTAAAAATATCAAAATTTAATTGACTGTTATATACATCACACATTAAATATAACGGAGAGAATTTTAAAGCGTTCGATCTCGGTGTAGGTAAATAAAAGACATTAAAATGCCTTTGAATTGTTCTGGGTACATACAAATTTAATCTTGATAAAATATCAGGGAAATCAATAAGATTGTTAATTATCTTATACAATGTGATTAGCATAACGTATTCTCTGCGATTTTTTAATGAAGAAAAGTTAAACCTCCTTAACAAATCATCATGTGGAAAACCCTGCTCGGGATAAAAACCAACGCTCTTATATGTCAAATATTTTAAAAACTTCCGCTGTATTCCCTCCAATTTGGTATCGTAGACATCATAGCTCGGAGCCCAAACAACTGCCGCATATTCCAATTTAGATCTAACATATGATGTGTAAAGTATCTTAATTACATCACAATTTGTGAAATCACGTGTACATCGTACAATGAAACCAAATGATTTTAATGCCTCAGAAATAACAGTATTTATGTGATGATAAAAAGATAGTTTTCTATCAAATATGACACCTAGATCCCTAAACATATCTACTCAAGAAATACGATTGCCATTCAGTGAATAGTGATATGCAGTTGGCGTCTTTTTTTAGTAAATGACATACTATTGCATTTTTTAATGTTTAATTGAAGCCCATTTGATATACACCATTCCCCAATCACCTCCAGATTTTTTTGAAGTTCAATACAGTCCTGTATGCATTCGACTCTTTTGTACAATTTTACGTCGTCAGCGTATAACAAAAATTTTGCATTGAGTTTATGGCCTATGTCATTAATAAAAATATTAAATAGCAGTGGACCTAACACGGAACCTTGTGGCACGCCTGACACTGCAACATATCGAGTTGATTTAAAGCATAT